ATTTTAAATGAGTTTTATATGTATTATAATCTTTATCAATCAATTCATGTTTAAAACACCTTTACAAACGATCATAACATCAAATTAAAGTCACACACTAAACATCGCATCAAGTGTTGCCTGCACTCACTTTGAGTCCATCCTTAGTTGTTCCTCTGCAGCTCTTAGATTAAGGCGACCTTCAGATAAATCAGTTCCTTCCAATGCTGAAAATCGCTGAAGGACTGTTAAGTGTATCAACGACTTTTTTTTTTGCATCCTCATTCGTTCTTACTTCTTTTATCAACACATCATCAGTGAGTTCTCCATGAGTCTACACCTCTTTGTCCACCTCAAGAAGTTGTTTAAAAGCCTCCGTGCTTAATTGATCAGGAATTGCAACACCATCCAACTGATCAATAGTGATATCAGTTACATCATTTTGGTCATCATCTACAGCTTGAAACTGGAAGCCTCCTTTTCTGAAACACTTTGTGATGGCCTCTGTTCGCACCAGTTTCCATGCTTCAGCAGTGATGGTGTCTGCTGTCAGATAATCTATCTTCTTTTTAGTTCTTCAAACGAAAAATTGAGATCTGTATCGATCTTATCTATGATGTGCTGAAACAGTATGGAACGATAGTGAGCGTTGAGGTTCCGGATGACTCCCATGTCCATTGGTTGCATAACAGATGTTGTGTTTGGGGGAAGAAACTCAAACTTTATGTTTTGCAGAGTGAGCTGTGCAATTGTCTATAAGCAAGCATATTTTTCTCTTCTTTTATGTGAGTTCTTTATCCCATTTGTGAAGCCATGACTCAAATATATTTCCCATCATATCTTTAGGGAAGCAAAGTGGACACTTAGCTTTTCCTAGCAGAAACAAAGGCTTTTTTTTCAATTCCTGTCATGTTTGCACAGACAAGAATTGTGATTCGATCATTAGACAGCTTTCCTTCATCCACCTTTGAGCCACATTCAATGTAGCCACGAGAGTAAATAAGTTTGAAGAAAAGTGCCGTTTCATCAGCAT